GCACCATGTTTGCAGACACTCTCCTCATCGTTTTGATCTCCATGTGCATACCTCTCCTGGAGGAGGGCATTACCTAGGTCCTAGTTTACAGAACAGACAAGTACAAGAGACTGAAGACAGAAGTGGAAAAGCAGAGTAAAAAACTGGAAAAGAAGAAGGAAACAATAACAGAGTCAGCTGGTCAGCAACAAAAAAAGAAAATAGGCAAGAAGAGAAACTGAATAAACAGATCTTTCAGTGGTTCAGATGAAATCCATGTTTGCAGTTGGCTTTTGTTTCATTGGCCTCATGGGAATGTTCAATTCCATATTTGATGGCAGAGTGGTGGCAAAGCTCCCTTTCACCCCTCTTTCTTAGATGCAAGGCCTGTCTCATCAAAACCTGCTGGGAGATGACACCAGACTGTTCCTTCATCTTCCTCTATATTCTCTGTATTATATCAATTCTACAAAACATCCAGAAGATTCTTGGCCTGCCCCTTCAAGAGCTGCCACCAAGCAGGCAGGTGGATTTCTTGGCCCTCCACCTCCTTTTGGAAAGTTCTCTTGAACTCAGGGAGACGCTTTTAATTCCTGTCATTCTTTCTAAACATTCATGTCAGACTGGCAACTATTTTATAGCAAGAGCTGTAGAGCCATCATCTCATTTTGAGTTGTTTCTCAACTTTTTTGTTGTTGTTGTTGTTACAGGGGATCAAACTTGGGTCCTTGCACTTGCAAGGCAGGTGGTGGAACCGCTGAGCTAAATCCCTGGCCTTGTTTCTCAACTTTTTTAATATGATTAGGCACCTAACAAACAGGATAGTACTTTTTGTCATAATTTTTTTTAAATCACTACACTGATAAGTCAAGTTCAGGTGATTTTTTATGTAGTGAAAAAACAAATCTCTTTCTTGCTTTGCTTACATTAATATTTTCTGAGGGAGCAACTCTCAAGGCTGTGTGTGTGCCATCTACCGTGGAACCTGACTCTCCATGAACAATGGAGAGCTAGAAGAAAAATTTAATCTGTGTAACTGAACTTAATTGGAACTGTTTGTTGTGTTTTTAAAGCCAAATCACTTAATATCAATAAAGAAGCCAAATTTCTGACCAAAAAGAAAGAAAGAAAATGGAAAGATATCCCTTGTTCCTGGATAGGAAGAACCAATATAGTGAAAATGGCCATACTTCCAAAACTGCTATATAGATTCAATGCAATTCCGAT